GAAAATCAATTAAAGTAGTGCCCAAAGGAGCATCATCGTTCCATTTATTCCCACGCGGCTTAATAATGTCTCAGGTTATGATATATTCTACACTATAAATGTTTTGGAAAAATTGATGTATCTGAAACTGAAGTCTGTATGAATTTTAATTTTATGTTTTTTTCTTTCAAATCATATAAATTAAAGAAACAGAAATAGCTGCAATTCATCCCAATTGTTACAATGACAATTCAACTTCCAAATTTCTGTGAGGAATAATTTTTTGTTGTTTTTTTTTTTTTTTTTTTTTTTTTTGATGTGTAGTTCAGGACTCTTAATAAAGTTCTATGCACTCATAGGTATGTTGTTACCTAAACTTGTGTAACATCCAAATAACATTAATGTTCATTTGACCACTTCTCCCTGTTTTTTCTCTTTTACTGTCTTTTCTCCTTGTGCTTTAAGAAATGACAATACTGCAAGTAAAACTTTTTCAGATGAAAATCCATTTGTATCTTCCATTACAGAATAGATTTATCCTGGGTATTCTACTAAACTGAAAACTTGTTCTTGAGTAAAATACTGGTATTACCTTTGGAAACTCCTCCAAGTCATTTAAGTAGAAATAAACTGGTGTTCATCATAAGCAAGCTCATAATTTGCTTCTCCTTTTTGATTTAGTGCCAACATTAACACCTATTCCTTTAAGTGAGATGATTTTGAGTAATCCCCGACAGGATCTCTCTGGGCTAAATTTCTGCATAAGAACATTATTTGAGGTTTGGATATATAAAAATCAAATTTTATACAAACAAGCAGAATTTATACTAAGAAGAGATATGCTAATTATGCATTTTCTTTATGTTCTTTATGCAGAGAAATATGAAATCTGAGGCTCAATGAAAGCAGAGTCAGCCACAGTGCTTGACATTTTTCAGTTTAGACATTCCTTAGTCCTGAATTCTGTATTTTTTATACTAATTAACCTTTCCATGAGCAGTTCAAAGCCTTTCTAGAAAGATCATGGATATAAATATATTTATGTCTGTTGACACACATGTACAGAGTATCTTGAATTGGTCTCCATGCTGTCATAATTCTATTCCCAAATCCAGATGTATCAACATAGAGCACATTAAACTTTAATTAGTTTTATTGTGGAGAGGACATCTTGGCAACTGAGGATTCATTTACATTATAAACATATCTTGGAGTGATAACCACATGTTCTTGGTATCTTTATGACCCGTGTGGAATTCGCATACCTATAGGAAAATATGATGCTTAGATGCAATAGATTAGATATCAGATATGTTGCCTTTTAATCCAAAGCAATTCATTTTTTTTCTGCAAATTTTTACTTTATCACCTCAATTCTGGTGAGTATCTATTTATATGTATCTGATCTGGATAAAAACAGATTATGCTCTCCTGAGGCTTTTGCTAAGAAATTCAATGTGACACTGGTCTTATGTCATCCAGAGTTGAAATAGCTGATGTCTGTGGAGAAGAATTTGCCAGCTAAGATAGCCTTTCACTGTCTTATGTTTTATAATTCTAATAATTAAAGAAAAAATGTTTTAAAAGAACCACATGGAATTATTTTATCCCAAATCACTTTAATTTTATATTCTATCCTCATATTGAGGGATCATATAAAGAAAATCTTTGTTTATTATAGTCAGAATGTCTTTTAGAGAACGTTTCTCATAACTGTGTGAGCGTCTTCTTGTAGCAGAGATGGGCTCTGAGAAGAGTATCCTGTTCTGAATTTCCATGCTTCAGTCTTGACTTCTGTTTCTGCCCATTCAGACTGTCTTTTACCTTGTAATCAACTGATGGGGTGGAACTCTAGAAATTGCACATATGGAACTGTTAGACAAGACCCTATCCTTGTTTCCTAGAAGCAGCCTGCCAGGGAGATAGGTTCAGTTAATAGCCCTCTGGTTGTTGAAACATAAGTAGAAAATGGATAATTCGAATGGTACCCAGAGATGAATTTGAATGAGTGGAATTTTAGAGACAGATTCTCTATAACATTTTTGTTCCTGAAGTTCCATATATCTTAAACACTGAATTAGTTGTTCATTTTCACCAAGATTTCTATACAAAGATTGTTTCCATTGTGTTATCTGATGAACCTCAAAGATATTTTCCTGAGGCAAATTTCATAAACTGAAATCCAAAGAATTTAGATAGTTAATGAATATTTTACTGGGTCTCAGAAGGGTAAGCCTAATTCTGCTTATCATTAACATGTTTTCAGAAACTTACAGACGCTTATAATAAAAAATAATGAATTCTATAGTGGGTTCCAATATCTTCTTGCAATACTTTCCAATTTCTGTCTTTAGATTTATTTGAAACTCCAGATTTTTATTTGTGAAACATATTAAAAATTGTTTTGCAGTAAATTTAGAAGAGAATACACAAAATCAAGATAAAATAAGTGTTTATTTCTAAAAATAATTTTGCTTATTCTGACATGGTTAATGTTTTAATGATTCAAAGTAAGAAGAAGCCTCTTTTTGGATGTTAGATCTTATGCTGAAAATGGGTTTATCTATTCCCCAGTGCTAGTCTATTGTGGAGAAATTTCTGCTGAGATAAAATTTTCTATTTTTGTAGGAAACTCTAAAGGATAGTCTAAAGGAAGGTGAAACATCCCATCACACAGGGAAGCACAAGATGATTGGGAAGTAAACAAAAAGTTTCAGGAAGTCCTTGAATCTGACTAGTTACACTAGGCTCCTCCCTCCTCCAGCATATATAATCAGTCAGGACTGCAGAGAGACACTTAGATGAGGTGAGCTGCTTGAATGAGTCACTTTCCAACCTGCTGAGCTGCCTCCAAGCTGTGCAGTGAGATCCAGATTTGTGGCTTTCATAAGCTATAACTCATGCAGGGTGGGCTTTTTGTGATGCAGCTAACTTTAAGTCATTTCTGCTCAACCAATCTCTTGTATGTAAACCCAATAAATCTCATTGATTCATCATTTTGGACTTTGGTGATATCCTTAATTTGGTCTGTCATTGGTTCCCCATCTGGAGTGAATAGACCTTTTCTCATGCCTCCCCACATGTCCCAAATGTTCCCAGGAAGAGTGTCACACAACACAGTCCATCTTCCAAATGATTTCAGGGTTACCTTTTCAGAACAGGAACTGTTAGAGTAGCAACAGAGATCCATTACATCAAAGCTCCTGGTCAAGAGAATAGAATCTCTGGCATGAGTGGAGAAACAACATTTCTGTTGGACAAGTCAGTCACCTGGTTAAGGTACCCTACCTAGGAAGGCAGGCTTAATTTAAGCCATGCTAAAGTGGTATATGGAAAAATCTTCATGCCTTAGTACAATCTATACAAGGTGCCATGAGGTTGGCATGAAGCTCTGCTGGGTCTGCCTATCATTCTGAATCAGAAAAGGACATTTCCTTTTTCTTTTTTTTTCTGTCTCTTTTTATGCTGGCCAGAATTTAAGTATGTTGTTTTTTTTGTTTTTTTGTTTTTTTGATATTTTAAGGTTTCTTACTCTTACCATAAAAACCTCCCTCCCCATCAGTCATGTGGCTGCCTGCTGTCATGTGGCAGAATTCCATGCTACTAATTCAGAAGGAAAGGTTTTTCTCCCCCATCTCTGCTCCATTCTTCTCTTCTGTGTAGTTACTAGAGTATATAGCTTGCCTTCCATGAGGTCCTTTTCTTTTAAACTCTGTTCAGATTGCCTTGTAGGGTCACAAAAAAAGGTGAAAGAAATAAAAAGAAAGAAAGAAAGAAAGAAAGAAAGAAAGAAAGAAAGAAAGAAAGAGAGGAAGGAGGGAGGGAGGGAGGGAGGAAGGAAGGAAGGAAGGAAGGAAGGAAGGAAGGAAGGAAGGAAGGAAGGAAAGGAATTATAAAATATGTCCATTGGACCAGTGAGATGACTCTGTGTGTAAAGAAACCTTTTGCTAACTCTGACAATCTGAGTTCTATCCCCAGCACCACATGCTGAAGGAAAGCAATCACTCCCACAACTTATCCTCTGGCCTCTACACATACCCTATACCACCCTCACTCACACATGCATACATGCATACATACACACGCCAACACACATTCACACAATAAATAAATGCTACATTTTTATTTTAAAAATAAGGGCACTGAAACAGGTGTCTTTAACTATTTTGTGAAAAAAAAATAATTCCTGTGAACTTGCCTTAAGATTGAAGATTGCAATTTTGGAAACATATAAACTTTTGTTGCCAAAATTCAATTTTTGACTAGTAATACTTCATAAATATTTTGCAGAACTCTGTTAGAGAACCTCATTATGAATTATAAGCAAAACAAATCAAACATATTAGAACCACAATTTATATAGTATGTCATATTATAAAAAGAAGGGAAGGAACATACCATGATCAGGTAGAAATAGTAATAACAATTTAGCTTGTGTATGTCTGGTCATTTGTCTTTGAGACTGTGATTGGTAAAAATTCAAGACTGTGAGCAGTAATGAACTATCCTCAGACTTTCTAATGACATTTACATATTTCAACTTATTATCCACAAAAATGCCAAAGATGGAATACATATATACACATATATATTCCTCTCTCTATATAATACACATATATAATATATAGATATATGTATATATACACATATATATTGAGACAGGGTATCACTCTGTGTCCTGGCTGTCCTGGAACTCACTATGTTGACAAGACTGATCTCAAACTCACAGAGAACTGTCTTGGCCTTCTGAGTGCTGGGATTAAAGTCATGTGCCACCACACCCATTGTATATACTATTTTCATTAACATAATGAAAGGGACTAGAAACAAAGAGGGAGTAAATGATGTCGCAAAGCTTACCCAGGCCTTTGAGTCAGGAAGAGAAACCAAGTCTCTTATGTTTCAATTACAGTGGTCTAGTCACGTGTTTGTTCAATTCCTGTGCAAAACATCCATACACAATATACAATGCACACCTCCCCCTTCCTGTCAAGTGCTTGTCAAAAGAAACACGCCATTACCTTTCCCACATACTGAGGTTCGGAGCCCATGTACTCTTCCAGCACAAAAAATTGATTCCATACCCAGCCACGTTTAACTCGTTGGAAATGGGATTGTCTTCCTGGGGAGTGGATAACATTTTCTCTTGGTTCTGTGGCTAAAGTCTGTTGTGGCTGTGATTGTAGTGGTGTTAGGAGACCTCCATCAAACAGAATCCAGAGAAGCAGGGATAAGCAGTTCCTTGTAAGCATTGGCAAAATTTTCCTATAGCAGAGTAATAAACACTCCAGTACTTAGTATAGAGTCGTGGGATCCAGGATTGAGGTGTCTGTGGCCTTGACCACTGAAGCTTTCTCTTTTAGTGCTGAAATGGTAATTCACACATTGATGTTTTTGAGGCTTTTCCTTTATTATATTCCATCTAAAGAGACCTATAAAATAGATTAACAAAAATACATTAAGTCAATTCAACTTCATGATGATGTTCATAGAAATTATGTATACTAACATTTAAAGAAACAAGAAAAAAATCTTTTAAAAGATTTATAATGGTAAATTGTCACTCCAATTCAAACTGTTGCAATGTAAGTTAATTGTTAAAGACTTGAAAAATTTTCAATTAAAATGAAGCAAATGTGCATTATAAACAGCATTGTGTTAAAAGTACATTATTAAGTTTGAGTAGCATTTTGTAAGTTCAATATTATTGACATTTGGGAATGGGTAATTATTTGTTTCTACATTGATACATTGTGCATTATAAACCATTTTAACACTTCTTTATTCTATTAATAGACTACAGTACATATTCTCTTATACCAAGTGATGGTAATCAAATGTATCTTCAAATATTAAGAAGTATGTCCTGACAAGAGCTAAATATACCAAGACTGAGAACAGAAGCTTTAAGGAAAGAAAGCAAGAAATTAGAAAAAAATTATCCTGAAATTAGAAAATTAAAAGAATCAGATCAACAAAATCAGAAAAACAAAAATGTAAAAGTAAATGTGATTCCTACAATCGAAATGATTAATCAAAGGTCATACATTAAAGGATTGTCTAAACTTTATATTGTAAAATATGATTTATTTAGCCTTAGTGTACTATTAACATCGTGTGGGTATATTTTGTTTGTTTGTTTGTTTGCATCTCATAGAAAACATAGATTCTTGTCAGATGGACAGTTTGTACTATGTATTTAGGTTAAAAGAACTTTGAACTTTTAATTTTAATAAACATTTGGGGACTGAGGATGTGAATCAGGTGATAAAATGTCTGCAGTGCAGTCATGAAGATCTCGGTTTAGATCCTAGAATCCACATACATGCGAGGCATGGTATCTCTGCCCTGTAAACTCAGCATTAGTGGGTTAGGGAGGATGAAGACAGGCAGATATTAGCATCTCACTGGCCAGACAAATCCAAATCAGAAGCCTCAAGCTCAGTGCACACACACACACACACACACACACACACACACACACACACACACCTATTTAAGAGTACAGACATAAAAAAAAAAAAAAAAGAATTCCTTGTAGCCAGGTGTGGTGGCACACACTTATAATGCCAGCACTCAGAAGGCAGAAGCAGGGAGATCTCTGTGAGTTCAAGGTCAGCCTGGTCTATATAGAGTTCAGGTCAGCTATGGCTACATGAAGAACCTGTCTCAAAAAGATTTAAGAGAGAGAGAGAGAGAGAGAGAGAGAGAGAGAGAGAGAGAGAGTCCCTAGGAGACAATGGAAATAACCCTTGCCTTTATTAAGTCAGAAACAGGACAAATGAACATTCAAGTAATTCAAGTAAATAAATGGGATAAAATCATGTCAGTGTAAAAAAAAAAAACATACAGCACATTCTGATGACAAAATTATTGTCATCAAGACCTGTCACAGGTCCTAGAGAGACAGCATATCAATTAAAAGCATATATTGTTATTGCAGAGGACCCAAGTTTGAATCCCAGTACCCAAGTTGGTTGGCACACCACTGCTTCTAAGTCCAGCTCCATACTAATTGAAGTCCTATTCTGTTCTCCATGGACACCTGCACTTCTCTGAACCTACCCATACACAGACACACACATACATACATGTAATTTAAAAGAAAATAAGTCTTCAGAAGCAGGCAGATCTTTGTGAGTTCAAGGCCAGCCTGGTCTACACAGTGAGTTCCCGGACAGCTAGGGATACAGGGAGACCCTGTCTCAAAAAAAAGAAAAAAGAGAAGATGAATCTTAGAAAACAAGACCTGTCACTAACGGCAACTGAACTGAGAGCCAAAGGGATAGAAGTTGCCCTATGTTTTTTAAGTAGGTACTTGGCTTCTCCAGGGCAGTTTTATGCATTTGACACTAACTAGGAACTGTCTCTGACACTTTTAAAAGCCAGAAGAGCAAGTGACCAGAAAATGGATATATTGCCTCCAACAAGATAATCAAACCCAAATTCAGTAAGTGACTATTGAAGTTTCTATAAAACAGGACTTTTTTTGTCTGCCAGTCAGCTGCAATTCAGGCCCAAACTTAATTTTTAAACATTTTACAAGAGACTAAAGAATTGTTCACAAAAATTCTATTTTGAAACCTGATGTAGGTGTAAGTGACCATGCTTGAGAGACGATATAAGGTGGGCAGCTTCCAACAATTGTAATATGAAATCATTCTACAAGGACACTCTCAAAATTGAAAAAAAAAGGAAGCGTTTGATATTTTGTTTCATTTCTATTGATTATGACTGCTGAAAAAATTCAAAACCATATTTTATCATGTCTTTCAAGTTGTCAAGATATCATCCACAAAATCTCACCTTATATTTACATTGTGCAATATGGGAGCCACTGGTAAAAATTTGATGAAATTCAGCAATTAGAGATGAAAATATAATCTCCTTTTAATATGAAAAGTTCAAATACTTCAAACAAAAGACATATTATCTTACTACAAATTTCTATATTATTTGTTGACATAACATTTAGATAGATGATAAATATAAATATGTCCTCTGTTTAATTTTGCTATTTTGGTAACTATGCCCACTGGAATATTAAAAGTCTGCACACTGCTCACACTTGCAGCTTATATTATTTTCTGTTGGACAGCACTACTTTGGAAAACTGAGATTGATAAAGAACTGACTTCCACACAAAAATTTTATTCTTAGCATGTATACTAGATCATGCCTGTGGCAATAACACATTAGAAGCACAGAGAATATTTGCTTCCAGTTTTGATAAGCATATGCAAGACAAAAGGCATATTTTTCTCATCTGCTGTCAAGCTTAAATTAGCAAGACGGAAAGTTTATTTCATAAATCAACACCTTCACAACTTTTGCCCTCGAAAAAAAAAAAAAGAAATCCTAAATATTATCATGAGGCTGAAATTAATTAGAGCTACAGAGAAGACCAGTGTGGAGCACAACAATCCTCTTTCCCTGGGGCCCACATCCTTCCTCACCCTTTCACCTCTACTTGGACACAGATGCCATTATAGTTTGCTATCTTCGTTCTACATTCTTTGCATTCCCTTCTTTCACTTTAAGTAAGATGTTTTCTACTTACATCCATGCTGTCTGATTCTTTCCTTTTCATATTAAAGTACTATTATGAAGCCTAACCCCCAGCTGAGGAGTATTGGCAACTGATGGCTGATTAGAGAAAAATCAATCTTCTTCAGGTATTTAGCCCACATTCCAGTAGAATTTGGGAGGGGAAAAGTGGTGGGAAGATTAGGGGAGGATTTGAAGGGGAGGGAATAGAAGATGGGTTTGATCAAATGATATTACATGCATGTATGAAATTCTCGAATAATAAAAATGTAGAATGTTATATTTATCAGGATATTTACTAGTTGATTTCTCTATGAGGTCATTGCTATAGCTATTTGTGTAGGTATTCCGATCTACATATAATCTTATTCCTTTCCATGTATTCCGCTATTTCGATAATGAGTACAGAGCTATTAAGACACATAAATGGAGCCTGGTGTGGTAGTACATTCCATTAATCCCAGCACTTTGGAGGCAGAGGCAGGCAGATCGCTGTGAGTTCAACTCCAGCAATAGAGGGGGAGAAGAGGAAGAAGAGGAAGAGGAGGGGGAAGAAGGAGGAGAAGGAGGAGAAAGAGGAGGAGGAGGAGGAAGGGAGGAGGAGGAGGAAGGGAGGAGGAGGAGAGGAAGGGAGGAGGAGGAGAGGAAGGGAGGAGGAGGAGGAGGAGGAGGAGGAGGAGAAACAACAAAAGAAAGAAACACATATCACATTGCAATGCATTGCATATGACACTTATGAATTTAACAGGACCCATATAAATCACTGTGACATATGTAAGCCATGGTCTCCTTTTCTCTTAAATTCAAAATCTTTAGTTTTAATATTACTAACAGTAATTCACATAAGAGAAGCATGAATGTGATTATATGCTCATTCTTTGGGTTTATTACTGGATGAAGAGAAGCTACAAAGTTGCTTTTGTACCTGTCTTTCTACTATTTTGTTCTCCAGAATACAGTATTGTAACAGTGATCCTATATGGACACATTGACTGAAGAAAAAGTATTGTAAAGAGAGACTGTATTTAACTGGCAGGACCTGAAGCTGACTGCCAAACTTGTGTGTAGTGGTCCACAGATATAAGTAAATACTTGGGAAGTGGAGGCAGGAGGATCAGGAGTCCAAGGTCATTATCACCTATGCAGGATGCTCAAACCCAAACTGGGATGCATGAGAACTTTTCCAAACCAAACCAAAACAAAACAACCTAAAGTTTCTAAACCTCCCAGTGCCTATATATCAAAGGAATGTTCCAACACTCTTCTGAGCCAACGATGGGTATAGATGTTGCATGCCACAAATCAGTTTCAGGAAACTTAGAGCCCATTCTCCTTCACTTTGAAATGAATAAAAATATTGTCTCTGTAACATAGTATGGAGGCAACCTGAGGAACAGGCCTCCTTCCATTCAGGAAAGGGTGAATTAACCTGCTTCACACTTAAAGTTAAGTGTATTTCCATTCTTTGTCTCATGGCCTTCTATAAATTATAATATGGCCACAGGCTCTATGGGAAATAAATTAGACATCTCACCTATTTGATTAGATTATAAGTAAATCCATTTCCTATTATCTTTGAAATACAATGAAATTGAGACAATAAGTTTATAGATTTAAATGCCCATCAGCAGTATTGGAGGTGCCAGGTATCTGTTAAGTTTGAATGAACTGCTTATAGAGTGATCACAGCCATAGCTAACCTTTTAAAAGCATACTGTGTGCCACACAGTGATGCATATCCTAAGTCTGTATAATAACTCTGTTAAAGCTGCTATTTTGCCTATTTTACAGAAGAAATTGTGTGATGTAGTTGTCAAACCCTTGACCACAGTCAGCAAGTTAGTAAACTGTGATTAGGTTTGATTTGGGCAAAGTGACCTTGGGG